CTCCCATGGTTCAAACTAGTTGTTGACTCGTCGCTTCACGGTACTTGACCTTTACAGCCGCTTACTCCACCGGCAATCGTATGCGCTAGATAGCATTTAATCGATTAATGTTTCAGTTATTATTATTACTTCAACCCATGTCACAAATGTCTTCGAGAATCCTTGGCTTTCTTGATATCCAAAACCCTACAAGTGCATTCACGATCAAGGCGGCAAATTCATTGGTCACGATTTTCAGTTGAAACTACAGCAGTGGGGAATTCACGATGCATCAGCGACAAGCACGAATCCAACTGCTGATGCTATCTGTGAACGGATGCATCAGACTGTTGGCAACATTCTACGAACAAGATGCTAACATGGCCCCAAACATTCAGACATCTAATCAAGCCATCGATGATGCTCTTGCAGCATGCAATCATGCTATGCGACGTGCTGTTTCTCAGTCTTTGAAAAACAACACTCCAGGCAAAGTCGTGGTTGCTTGTGATATGTTGCTCAACATTCCTGTCATTGTCGATCTTTTGAGTATGCAAGAAAAGCGACAATTGATGGTCAACGAAAATCTACAGCAACAAAATGCCAAGCAAAAGGAGTTTGATTACAACGTTGGTGGCGAAGTTTTGATCAAGAATTTCAATCCAAGTAAATTGGATCCAAAGTTGGGGTTAGGGTAGGGTTAGGGTTAGGGATGGAAGGTCCGTATCAAATTACTTGTGTGTTTACTAACGGAACTGTTGAAGTTCGCAGGAGTCTTCATGTCTTTGAGAGACTGAATATACGGCGTCTTGTGCCGTTTTGTCGAGTCTAGCAAGCAATGAGTTTGAATCGCCTGTTGCGTCAAGAACCACCTCTTGTATGAACTGTGGATGTAAGGGCGCCTTTGTGACTACACTTTGATACAAAATGATATGATAATACTATGATCATACGACAAGCTTTGATCATAGAGGGGAAGAGTGAAACGGCCATAGAACAGGCCCAAGGTATTGGGACTGTAGAAGCTCCTTTGGTTGGGTACAGAACTAGACCTTAGTCAAGAGGGCGACATAAGCACTTTGAAGTGCATCTCTATAGACATCCACAATTTTCTCTTCTAAGGTTGGGTTACCTTCGCCCCCTACTATTGAGCATAAAACAGATGTGACTTAGGAGCAAAGTACAGACGGCGTCTGTCATGCAACATCAAACACGATTGCTCATATATGTCAATCGATCGTGAATTCCCAATTCCCACATGAGGGCGTGCTACATCGTGTACAACAAGTACTACTTCACACAGTACATGCGAGTAGTAGGAGTCGCTCACCCGCGTGCCGGTGCGTCTTTTTTTTAAATGTGGAAAATTCCTGCTTTACTATCTAATCCTATCTAAGATAGCCTACTGTCGTCCTCCGTGTGTGTGTTTGTAGTATTTTGTCTTGGTGTGTAGCTGGTGGGTTGTGGTGTGAAGCGGGTCGAACTGATCGAGCAATAGACTCGATTCGTTCGACCAAATTGAATTACCACGACACAAGTGGGTGAATTCAATCTCAGTCGATAAACTCCTTGGCGCATCGACAACAACTTTTGACGGTCGAAGGCCGTTCGGCCTTTGTCCGTCTGTACACAATGTAGTCAAAGAAATCGAACAGTGTGCCTGCGGTCTACGTTGGAGAATGGAACCTTCCATGACTGTCTGTTTATCACTGGCCCATGATGTAGAAATGTCAATCCGCGCCAGTCATTCCATTTGTCGATCGCCAGCAAGTCACGGTCAGAAACGGAAAACATCCGTTGAACCGATGCACCCGCGCGGGTAGCGGGTACAAAAATTATGAAAAATCATTCTACTCGAATCCGCGCTTAAATTTAAGCGCGGATTGTCAATCCGCGCTTACTTTAGTAGCGAATTGTCAATCCGCGCTTAATTTAGTAGCGCATTGGCAATCCGCGCTTGATTTAGTGGGGCATTGGCAATCCACGCTTAAATTAAAAATGTGTGAGACGCAAGCCGGGCAAAAAGAACGCGCGCAAAGTGTCACACAAGGACTTACCGGATCGAATTGGAAGCTTGCCTGCTCATTTTGCCGCCAAAATGGCAGTCCCGTGAAGAGAAGGACGTATAACACCAATTCCTTGAGTCCCCAAGGAGGTGTAAAACTTTAGATGTCTGAAATAATGATTGCTTTGCTGTATCGAAATGTTGGAAGCCGGATCTACACTTGCACATACGTAAGCAGAATTCTATTTTACCTAGCCAATGAGATCCTTTTATTCGCATCCGCTTTGACACCTTCTCCCAAGAGGTCCCATTCATTGGAGTTCTCAAAAAGTGAACAGTATCCTCCAGCTAGACCCTTTTCTTTTGGCGCCCCTTGCTGAATAGCAACTTTTTCACACCAACATCAATTCCTGTTACTATGGCGTCAAACAAATGCACAAGATGGAAATCAGTCATTGAACTCCAACTTACAGAACCTATAGGCAAAGGGCAAGCCGCCCCAAATTTTGAAACACTGGAATCCCGTGATATTTGCACATATATAGAACACAACCAGCAGTACCACAAATGCAAACTCTACCTATGCCGGAGATCATTTCCAGATGACAGTGATCAAAGTCTTCAAGAACTGAAAAAATATATCATTAGGAGCGCTTCCACAAATGGATGTGGATTAGTCTGTGGAGGGTGGGGAACAACTGGCAAAGCCAAGCTGAAGATACACCGAGTTCAATGTTCCTACTCCAGAATGTACCAGCATAAGAAATCTGACAGCAGGACCATGTTGGACTACAAGGATTCCACCATGAGTAATGATAGAAGAGCAAACAACCGCGGGGTGACTGGCAAGAAACAATCCAGAAGAGCAGATGGAAGACATGATGGGTATTGGAAGCCACACGTCAGATAGGAAAAGGAAAAGGTCATCGCGGGATGCCTATCACACTTTGAGACCGTTATTCATGGAGATCATGAATGTGTTGGATCACGATCCCTCAAAGCTTCAGCACTTTCAGGGAATGATGAATAAGAGCTTGCTTGAGGCAAATGCAGACATCCAAAACAAAAGGCAAAATACAAACATGTAGTACTTTCATAAACAACATGTCCATAACATTCCACTATCTTTCCAAGTGCATTCCTTTTCGAAAGCGGTGCAGTAGCAAGATAAATCCGACTCTGCTTCTACTTTGGGTCAGTTGTTGTGTATGATTCCAAATGTATTCCTTTTCGAAAGCAGTGCAGTAGCAAGATAAATCCCACTCCGCTTCTACTTTGGGTCAGTTGTTGTGTATGGTGATTCCAAATGTATTCCTTTTCGAAAGCAGTGCAGTAGCAAGATAAATCCCACTCCGCTTCTACTTTGGGTCAGTTGTTGTGTATGGTGATTCCAAATGTATTCCTTTTCGAAAGCAGTGCAGTAGCAAGATAAATCCCACTCCGCTTCTACTTTGGGTCAGTTGTTGTGTATGGTGATTCCAAATGTATTCCTTTTCGAAAGCAGTGCAGTAGCAAGATAAATCCCACTCCGCTTCTACTTTGGGTCAGTTGTTGTGTATGGTGATTCCAAATGTATTCCTTTTCGAAAGCAGTGCAGTAGCAAGATAAATCCCACTCCGCTTCTACTTTGGGTCAGTTGTTGTGTATGGTGATTCCAAATGTATTCCTTTTCGAAAGCGGTGCAGTAGCAAGATAAATCCCACTCCGCTTCTACTTTGGATTGGTGTATTTCAAGCTTTTGTGTGAAATTGTGTGGTGAGATACAAAAATCTGACTCAGCATTTTTATGTGTGACATTCTAGGTGCGTGGTAATTTTGAGACATAATTTTATATATTGGTTTTGGTATTTTGTTATGTAAATATAATGGTATTGGTATGACATACTTCGTGCGTGGTATTTTGTTATATGATTATACTGTGATTTTGGTATTTTGTTATGTAGATTTAGTGTTAGTGGTAAGACATCCTTTGTGCGTGGTATTTTGTTACATATAAATATACTGTGGTTTTGGTTTTTGCCACGTGCGACAATGACACTTTTATTGTCTAATCATGGATCCAACCAAGCCAAATGCATTTGGTCCAAAAAGTTGAAAGAGACATTCATTGCACCTTTTCCTTTTGTAAGAGTACTTTGAATGATGGCAATTACAATTCAAGAAGAGACAGCACACATGGAAAAGAATACATTAAAGTACAGAATTTGGTTACTCTAGTTGTTATGTAGTCGTCCTCATGTCTTTGCCAACATTGGAACGACAAAATATCGGTCCAAATTGTGCTAATTTAGATAGTCGCAAACGTAGTCCTTACGTAGTGCTATAGGTCAATTGCTTCGTTTCGAGGGGTCTTGTTACTAACAAAGAGAATTAAGTTGACGTCCCAATGACATTTTGCCAGCAGTATAATGACAAAATATCGGTCAGAATAAGGCAGAATTCAAAACCAAAGGAAAAAAACGCAGGTCTTCTATAGCATGATAGATCGGTCACTGCATGAATGGTTGGGACTTCATTTTTAGAAGTCTCTCTGCGTCGACATTATCACATTCAACGTGGAAAAATCTTGAATCATGATTGTGATCAAAGAAATGAAATATGATCGATTTCAGAGGTGGAACCACATTCATTCGATCCGTCATAATGCTGTGAATAGATCAATAGTGGTTTTGTATGAGAAACCTGTATGGAGGAGATGCAACACCAAACCAAAACTTACCTTCATTTTCATCGCAACGCTTGAATCATCATTGGGATCACAGAAATATATGATGATCGATTTCAGAGGTGAAACCACATTCATTGAATCCGTATCATCACTGCGCATAGAGAGATAATAGAGTTGTATAAGAAACTTGTATGGAGGAGATGCAACGCCCATCCGAAGCTTACCTTCATTTTCAATGAATGATTGACGAATTCAAATCTAACGGATAGAAGGCCGGCGAGCGGGTATGCCTGCGTGCAGATTTGAATCTCGGCGGGAATTGAATGTTCACCTACGATGGCCAGACGGTTGCGGTGATTCCTAAAAGACCTAAAAATCCTTTCGCAACTTGCTGTGGACTTGTAACCAAGGACCTTCAATCTCGTCGGCAGATAAATGGGGATATTATTGTGGTGGGCCACTATTTACTTAGGGGCAAAAGATATTCATGCGCGCATTATAAATAAAATTAGCCATACATTTTCTCGTAGTATCGACCATCGGGTTAAATATGGAGACGTCGCATGAAATCCAGCAAATTCGCCATGCCCCATCGTGCCTCTTCCCTCAAAAGCAGCACTTGCTCCCTCATTGTGAAGTTCAATCAGTCAACACAACATTCCATCGCATCACAAAAACATTGCTCACTCTTGTTAGATAAGGGTACCGGCAAAATTGCTTCACAAATTGAGGCGAAGCTTCGACAGTTTCAGCCTAATCAAGGCGGCACAACAAGGAACAACAAGACCACCTCTCTAAGATGCAACAAACGTGTCACAAATCCGTATTGTCGTCCCGCGCAACGAAGTGTTGAAATGAAGCCGACGGCTATCTCAACTGACAATTTGCTTGGCTCCAAACCCGAGCTCTCCACATTCAAACATGGGCTTTCCGCGTTCAAGAGCAACCGCCCTGAGTACTGCAATGTTGGAGTGGCGATGAGTTTGCAAATGCGCCACTACACAGGGGATGGGCGCGGTATAATG